CTACAACTAGGATAGTAATGTTGTCGAAGTATTGTCGACCGCCAGGTATGACGGATTGGTAAATATTGTTATGAGGTTCCTTCGTCATTTTGTATCCCGGCTCAATATCTATATCAAATAAAAATAGGGTGTGGGCTTCTTCTCCATTTATATAGGAACAATAAATAATATTACAATCCAATCGAACAAGGCCGAAGTTCATAAGATTGATCGGCTTTGTAGATACAAAAGCCTTCATTTGGCGGGTACTTCATATTAGCGAATCCTAAGAGGCTAGATAAACTTTATTTATAATTTATTTATAACGTATTAACTAATTTATATAATACTTAGGCACTATTATAACTCACAATGCTAATTTATTTATTACAATTTATCTTTATTTGAAACTGCCCGTCCGTCGAAAACTCGCGCTATTTATATAAAGCCAGCTCTGTACCAGTAGTTTCTAGACGATCTCGAATGTCCAAGAACGCCATCTCTATGATACAATTGCCACGTATCGTTTTTTACTGGTAGCTTCTCGAAGCATTGCGTTTGTCTCTATATGGCCAGTGCTAGACTTTATACTGCGGATAAATAGTAAACAACGCACAGGGTTGGCTTTGCGCGACAATACAAATATTGTAGAAATAAATTTCATTTCTTGTGAGTTATGATAAATTAACTCAATTAATTAATCTTTTGATGCAACTCGCTTTAAAATTTGCCCATCTTTATTTTTCAATGGAATTATTGCGCCTTTCAAGTGCAAATTTAGTGTAAATTTAATTAGTAATAGGTGTAAGTAAATTATAAATAAACTGTTTTAAATAAATACACTATTTTTAAATTAAACAGTCGCTACAATAAAGTGGATTTCGAAATAACAATATTTCCATTTAAAATTTCACTAACAAGCGTTCATATACCCTAGTTAATTTTCTTCCTACTTTCCATAGCTAAATATAGTAGGAGTTCTTATCTTGCCGATTAATGAATGTAGGTATAAATTTTCCGCTATTTTTATTTAGTGTGTTATCAAGCTTAAAGGTTCAAAACATCTACATTTATTTTTTGCATGCTGATCTGATATGTATGCAGATCTACGCTAATATAGCGTGACAATAAGAAATTAAAAGAATATCTACTATTAACTGATAATCTTTCGAACTAGACCATAAAAATTATTTCGTATGATCTGATATGTACGGATTAAATAAATAACTAATTTCAAAAAATGGGCGACAATAAAGTTTTATATCTTATTTAGTTTCTTTCTAGTTTTTGCCATGGGCAGCGCAATCGAGAGAAAAAAAGTGGAAATGTTTCAGTATCATCAATTTTTTTGTGAATTTTCTAAATAAAAATGTAATGTCATTTTAGTTATTGTTAAACCACCGATTTTTTTGCACTAATTTTATTGTGTGCATGAACTACGACGTTAATTTATTGCCTACATAATAATATATTTTAGTTATATCTTATTTTAAATCTAAATAATATATACATATTCTAAATTTGACAATTTATAGTCTGAAAATATTACTCCCTCTTGCACTCTCTCTGAATTATGAGTACTCCCTCGAAAATTTTAAATAAGAAAGGGGGTCGTGTAGTACCTTGTTTCAAATGGCTTTTAATTACTTCTTCCAAGGAATATAGTTTTTTAAAATGGGTGCAATCATAACAAAAAAAAAAAATTTAAAAATGTAAAATTATTGTAATGTCTCCACCGTTACGTAGATTGCAAATTGAGATTCAAGAATGATATAACGAAAAGATAATAAAGCTTATTTTCGACCAAAGAAGTTACTTAAATACTGATGATCAAAAACCCTTTGTGGCTCCCTGGTTTGATCTCATTTGAACCCTTAGACCCAATATAAAGAGAGGACTCGTAACGTAGCAGGAAATCGTATTTGATTTTGACACCAAATGCTATTTGACCAGAGGCGTAACATGTTGAAAATAAAACAATGAACTTATTTATGTTATTAGTACTTTATTGATCTTTTTAGATATAAAGCAAGTTCAAAGCGTAAAAATAAATGGAGAACAATAAATAAGGCACAAGAAAAATATATACAGGGTGTCCCGAAATTAGACGGTCATATTTTAAAAGCGTAATCTACATCCTAAAATAGGATTAAAAGTTTATATAAACATAGGTCCAAAAACGTTACGTTTTCTAGATACAGGGTGTTACAAGTGAAGTCCTGATGGCACATTTTTGTAAATATTTTCTAAAATTTCTTTAGTCACCGGTTTTCCAAAGTCAAAACAAAATTAAATTTCTGATTCCACAGGCATACTAATTATTATTTTTACACTTTTGAATAAGATAACATCAACTTATCATGAAATTTTCAAATGCTTTTCTCTTGAAAATAGTGCGTCCTAGCGAGATGCAATAACAGTAGCTTTATTATAAAAAAAAACATTGGTTTTCCAAATTTTATAGTCAAAAATGTTAAAAACTGTCAACAAAAAAAAACTTAGGGCAATTTTACCCTAAGTGGTCCCTAATTTACCCACCTGTGAAAATGATCTAAAACTGGGGTTTATGCCCTTAAATAGAGCGTAAAAAGGTAAGCATTTATACCAAATTTCACTTAGTTATCTTTAAACGTTTAGAAAATATTTTCAAAAGTGTGTCATCAGGACTTCACTTTTAACACCCTGTATCTCGGAAAAGGAACGTTTTCAGACCTATGTTTATATGAACTTTGACTCCTATTTTAGGATGTAGATTACGCTGTTAAAATAATTTCTGGACACACTGTATATATACAACGATATTAAAAATTCCTTCGGTATAAATATACAACTCAACAGAGGCTACAAATTAAAATTAGTTTTATATATACAGAATTAATTTAATAAATATTTCCTATTCCCATCTTTGATAATTAATTAATAACTTAGCAAAAATCAAGTAGAGAGATAAGTAATTTTATAGTGTATCCATAGACTATTTTAGAAAAACTTTAAAAAAACTGTTATTTGCAAAACAAAACTAGTATCGAAAGTTACCCATGTACCGGACCCTAGGTCTCTCCCTTTTTTACTTTCCTATCTGTATACAGATATAAGGATAGTATAGGAATCATGATTTTTTCGTGTGTGTGTGTGTGTGTGTGTGTGTGTGTGTGTGTGTGTGTGTGTGTGTGTGTGTGTGTGTGTGTGTGTGTGTGTGTGTGTGTGTGTGTGTGTGTGTGTGTGTGTGTGTGTGTGTGTGTGTGTGTGTGTGTGTGTGTGTGTGTGTGTGTGTGTGTGTGTGTGTGTGTGTGTGTGTGTGTGTGTGTGTGTGTGTGTGTGTGTGTGTGTGTGTGTGTGTGTGTGTGTGTGTGTGTGTGTGTGTGTGTGTGTGTGTGTGTGTGTGTGTGTGTGTGTGTGTGTGTGTGTGTGTGTGTGTGTGTGTGTGTGTGTGTGTGTGTGTGTGTGTGTGTGTGTGTGTGTGTGTGTGTGTGTGTGTGTGTGTGTGTGTGTGTGTGTGTGTGTGTGTGTGTGTGTGTGTGTGTGTGTGTGTGTGTGTGTGTGTGTGTGTGTGTGTGTGTGTGTGTGTGTGTGTGTGTGTGTGTGTGTGTGTGTGTGTGTGTGTGTGTGTGTGTGTGTGTGTGTGTGTGTGTGTGTGTGTGTGTGTGTGTGTGTGTGTGTGTGTGTGTGTGTGTGTGTGTGTGTGTGTGTGTGTGTGTGTGTGTGTGTGTGTGTGTGTGTGTGTGTGTGTGTGTGTGTGTGTGTGTGTGTGTGTGTGTGTGTGTGTGTGTGTGTGTGTGTGTGTGTGTGTGTGTGTGTGTGTGTGTGTGTGTTTTTTTTTTTGATATGTGATTCGTAATAAACCAAGTAAAAATATGTGCTGAGAGACAAAACAATGTTTCTCAAAAGTTGGTAAACTTAATAGTTAAATAGGAATTTGATATAGTAGTTTAATTTTAAATGATATTTTGAAAACTGTTCCCTCTGTACCGGATACCAATATCTTTCCAATATTGGATAGTATATTCTGACTTATAAAACTGGTGAATAATTATAGACAAGTTTGTATTTATATTTGTAAAACTTAACGGTTGCTACACTTACTCTGAACTGATCAGACATAACATTATTAACTGGTTACTGCTTCATTCCACATTCCCTTTCATAAATAATGGCAATAATAGGAACTATCCACTTCGAATTTTCTATTTACTATCCGGTACTGGACTAACGCAAAAAGTCAGCACCACGTGCTATTTACAAATATTTACTAATAATTTTACTATTTTTTGGGTATTAATGTAACCACAAATGATGAGAAATGTTTGGTAACCTATCAAAAAATTAATAAATTTACTTTTATGCAACACAAAAAATAGAGTAAAGTTAGTAGGGGAAATAAAAAAACGACCTATGCACTTAAGCACAAATAACTCGACATTAGCACAAATATATTGACTAGTGGCGGCGAAATGATTCTGTGTAGGAACGAGTCAACCGGTATTGTCCGGTACTGGGCACTGTCCGGCGCTGAGACAACTTCCCCTATGATTATTTAATTTTGATTTTTGATTTTTTTATATATTATTAAAATAGAATTATATTTTTGACTTCAGTGGCATTATAGAACTGTATTTTAGTTTGTTTTTCAAAGGAAACTGTGGGCAGTACATAAGAATCGGTTTTTGAACATAATACTGTACCATTTATTCACAGTTTATTAATGTAAAATATATCTGTAATCATCTTTTTGTTATGACTGATAATTTTTTTGTGTCATCGGTATTAACTTTTTTGGTTATTAGCCTCTGGTTCTGTGTAGTTTTTGTTACTGTTTCCCAGCGCCACTTTGGAAACAGTACTATTAATTAATTCCCAACAGTGAATGGTCGAGTGGGGAATCCTATCCATTCTTTAGAATCAGGGCATAAACAATAGTCCCAAACACACGATCCTCCCCCAGTTTGTGGCATAATATCGTTAAATTGTTTATATTATTGGGTAAATAGTTATTAATATAGGTAATTTGATAAAGAACTTACTTGATAAGAAGCAGAAGAAGGAAGAACAGCGAACTGTGGTTCAGCTGCAGGTTTGGGAACCGTCAACAGCTTTTGACTAACCGGTGTTTTAGCGGGACTCTTTGGTTTTTGATAGCCGGTCATCAGCTGGATGCCGGGAATGGCGGGCGGGAAGATGGAAGTCTGAGAGGCGATCCGGGGCAGTTCCATGGCGACGGTTTCGGAGGGCCATCGGCGAGAGGCATAGCATCACGAAGACGTCCCGTAGCGCCTCCGCGAAGATCAGAAGAGGGCGAAGGACGGTGCGAGCGGCGACATCCGCGATGATCTGAGATTCTGAGGTGGTTGGTTGAGAACGGAATTGCGAAACGGCGGAGCACCGTGTGCTGCGCCCTGGTGCTCTGCGCGATGCCGCAAACGGCGTTGCCGCTTTTATATGGATGATGTAAAATAAGGAATTTCGTGCCGCATTAAGTCTATTATAATTTTCAGGGGTCAGGTCAAGTGATTACATATACAGTGGACTCTACAAATAAAATAGGGTTATAGCCGAAAAAATATAAGGTATTGAGCGAGGGATAAACCACTAAGGTTAAAACGTACCCATACTTATTTCGAAAATCATTAAAAATTTGAAGGATTTCGAAGAAATCATTCTTGATTTTTCCTTGCAATGATATCTTAATCACGAACTATCATTGAGTTCGAACATGACGTAGTGTGGGGCGGAATATGACTGTTATCTGTTATCGCAATTAACAGTTTAAAAGTATTTTTTATGTGTTGTTTTGGATACCTCAAATTCGCAAAAGCCATGCCACCGCACCACAATACGTCACCGTGACGTAGTATCAATTTGCGTAACATCATACCTATTATCATGACTTCATGTAGGTATGAGAGTATAAGTCGTATAATTATTTCATTCAGTGGCGACTTGTCCTAATGGGCCAAAGGGCCATGGCACTAGCGCAAAATATGTCGGTCAATATTTATTTTTTATTTTAGTTCAATAATTCTTACCTTTATGGGGTCAAATGGATACACGATGCATACTTATATAAATTATTTATTATTATGTAATTTGATGCCGACGAAAAAATTCGAGTTATGTTATTCCACAGAAGAGAGAACATGTTATTCCCAGACACATAGTTCAAGCGACTGATTCAACTCACTGGACTATATTCCTTTCCGAGCACAACAACGGCCCAGTCGCTAGCATAGCGATCATAAGAGGTAGGGTAGTGAAGATGCTATGTATTCTAAAAATGACATCAGTGAGTGCGATTACGTTGACGTAAGTGTAGCATCAATATGGCTGCATACCAAGTCCAGACTAGCTGCTTTTTTCATTCTAGATAGAATACCCAAGTATTGATTTTTTTATTTTAGGCGAAAACTGACATAAACAATTTTATTAGAATAATATAATTTTCGGCTGTACATTTAGATTTAGAGAATTTTGTTTCAAAACATTAAAAAAATCTGCTTTTGAAAAAGTATAATTTAAACAAAAACTGGAAATTCAAACTGAAAGAAGATTGGTTGTTATTGCACATTTTACAGCAATAGTTGAACACTTTTTTTTCATAAAAAATATTTTCCTCAAAAAAAGGAATTTTTGGGTAGAAAGTGTTTTTTATTTTATGGCTTAGGTGTATACACCTAATATGCCAGTCTCAGTTTGTGTTTGATATTCATTCATGTGTGTTCTGTGTAGGCTTTGTTACTGTTTTCTAATGCCACTTCAGGAACAGCACTGTTAATTATAACCCAACAGAGAATGGTCGACGTGGGGAATCTTACGCAAGCCCAGACTCTACTACTGAGTCACCTACCTCCGTAAAAAGAGTTACTGTAAAAAAATGTAAAAATAGTATTGAGTGAAAACGGACAATCCACTCAAGTTCTACAATAGGTATATTTGTTCTACTACCCACTAACCAAAATGACGAAATTTTAAAAATTAATTTAGAGATTTTTAAGATGAAATAACTAGTACTTAAAAAATATTTTAATTTTTAAAGTTAATCTCATAGATTTGAACACCGGAGCATTCGTATAGGAACTTCGTACGCTATCTCTGTGTTAACAAAACAAACAAGATTTTTTTTTAGATAGTTTTATTGGAATTTACGATTTATTTGTAAATATAGGGGAATATCTTGTGGAATGCTATTATTTGTGGATTCTTTACAAGAATCACTCGTTTTTAAATATACCTATTTAATCTCAATAACTAAAAAAATATACTGACAATTAGTTTGACAGAATTATCACTCATTTAAATAAATAAAATTATATTTATTTGGTAAATAAATGTTTTATGCTAATTTAGCATATACTTTCTAATGTTTATTTATTACTGTCAATGATAAAAACCATTATTTAATCCAATTCGGAAAACATATCAACATTTATTTTATTATCGCTATGTACTCTGTTACCACTGAAATGCTACACGACCTAATCAAAAATCTGATGTGCCCAACACATGACTTTCCTATCTAGTTATTATAGGCTTTTTCCGGTTATTTTGTACACCTTATTGCAGCATCTCTATAAATGTTTAAAGGATAAACTAAATATATACATTGTCCACATACATCTACCTCGAAACATTTTTCTATAGATATTCATGGAAAACGAAAATACTGAAAAATTTAAATTTCCTACAATTTTTTCATTACGGTCCATTTTAGAAAAATCATCTATAAACAAAAATTATAGAGATCGATATCGCAAACAACTTTTATTTCAAAAACTTTCGTAAAAATCAGAATTTTGCACATTTTGTCAAATTTGTCGAATACGGACCATTTCAGGAAATTTTTACGTAAACCAAAAATTATAGATAATAATATTAGAAGTAACTTTTATTTGAACAATTTTTTTCTCCAAACATTAATAACAGATATATTCCATAAAATATAAAATAGTCAAAACGGATTCAGGGGACCTCAAAACGTAAAAATCCGTCGAAAACTCGAGGTCGAAAAAAATCATGATTCCTATACTTTCCTTATATCTGTATACAGATAGGAAAGTAAAAAGTGGTTATTTTTTTCACTTAATGTTTTAGTGTGTTAATTTGTGGAAACTTAGTGTCTCCATCAAACTCCTCAATTTCAACAAATATTGGTGGGTTCAACACCTAATTACTAATTATTGGAAATATTGGTGGTTACAGACCTAGATTATTTAAAATTTTGGTGGATACACCATGTATTATATAACATTTTGGTGGTTAATATTATAGGTTTGTTCTAACAACGATAGACAACCTGTCGGGGCTTGGCACTTAACTCGGATCTTGGTTATGTTGGAGCACATGTTTAATAAATTTAACAGATACACATTATTCAATAATAAACCAGAAAATAAAATAATTGATAATTAACAAAAACTATGAAAACTGAACTCGATTGACAAATATACATTTCTAAAACACTGAAAGTTTTTTACTGATTCTTTACCGAGACCTATTGTGAACCCCAATATTTTGGTAACAAGCCGCCACTGCTCAGAATTGATATCTACAATTCACATTCTACCAAAGAGGTTAGAATCTAAGCATTCTACCTAATTCTACCCAAATAATTTCAAAGCAGACAACATTATAAAGTTAAAGTGAGCATATAGTTTCAGTCTCGAACAAATATTTCTGATATTGTCACAAATCCCAAAAGCAATAAATAATAATTATAACCCTTAGGGCCAATCTTTTCACCTCTGAGTAAAGTTAAAAGTAACTACTTGCTGATTAAACTATAGGGCTATTCTATGTTAATCTGTCAAGTAAACCTACATGGAACTAACTTTACTCAGAGGTGAAAAGATCGGCCCAAGAAATTGAATTCAACTAAATCAAACAAAATTATTTTATTTTCAATTTAATTTTTGTTCATTAGTCATAACGATTTAAAAAGCTATTTTAAAATCCTGCTAACTTGCCAATAGACATAAAAAAATGTAAACGAATTGATATTGCTCAATTTCAAAACACAAGAATCTATCTTTAAAGAGTTCAAAAAACTAGGAATCTTCAGGGTCGCTCGATAACGGGACATCCAAGAAGCTGGGCTTAAAAAGAAGACTCCACTGCGGTATATAAAATAGGGTAGTAATATAATTAAGGAAAGTAAACACTCATTTTATAACATTAATATTCCGTAAAACGATAACGTTTTTTGTGTCTTTTGGAAGATAATGACGTTCCTGTAGCCTATTAGATGATGTGCTAAAGGGTACCCAAACATTTTTAGAATAACGAGTTAATTGTAAAAAAATTGACGAGGTGTGATTGGATAAGGTGAATCGTCGGTGAGCATATTGAACTATATTCCCACTCTTTATAAAAAGCTGTCAAAAAGTGTTCCTGGGATTCACACACAAAGATTGGTTACTCAAATGCGCAAACGTAGATGTAGTAGAAAAGCCAGGGGCCTTCAATTAAAGAAACGCAAAAGTGGCGCACCAGGGACTGCGGACTTCAATGCGATGATGATGATGATGACGATGTTTTGGAACAAAAAAACTGCAATTTTTGGATAGTTAACCAAAATCAATAGATGATATTTGTAAAATTAAAGTATCTACTAGAGGTCAGGCCAGTAATGATCTGTGGAAAGAACATCGTAGTAATATGCCAACGGCTTCAAATTTTGGAACCGTTTACAAATTTTGCAAAACAACAGATCCAAAAAAGACTGTTAATAACATATCATTTTCATCTTTTCACGGATCAGTCGCTACAAAATGGGGACCAGATCATGAATCTATTGCGATAGAAGAATTTAAAAATAAATATGGAAAAACGGTACAAGAATGTGGATTATTTATTTATGAAAACCATCCATACTTGGGAGCAAGTCCAGACGGCATTATTAATAATAATAAAATAATTGAAATTAAATGTCCATATTATTGATTTAAATTGGGAATTCAAGAAAAAATTAAATATCTAGCCAATACAGATCTCCAAATTAAATTAAATAAAAAGTGATAATTATTATCAGGTGTACAAGGACAATTGGCTATAAACGAAAGCCAAATATTGTTATTTTATAGTTTGGACTTCACTAGGAATGTTCGCTGAGAAAATTAAGAGAAATGACAATTTTTGGTTATGTCCTGAACCAAAGTTAGTTGATTTTTATTTAAAATATTTAATAAAAGAAATTGTAAGAAGAAATAATTGATGTAATTTATTTTTTTTGTGATTGTATTTTGTTATGTAAAAATAGTAAGTAAGTAATTAAAGTATTTTTTATTAATGTATTTTATTTATTTTGACCTATTTTAATTTCAGTGAACGAAGAAAAGATAAAACCAATACATTA